ATAGGTATAGCATGTGTTATTTTTGAAATTTTTTATAATAAGTTTTAATTTTTCTACTAGTTAATTTTTAATTTAAATTGTAAAAAAACTAAAATTATTAATTTTCCTACAAATTTTTTATAATTAATTTTTACTTTTTAGGTTTCTTAAAAAGAATCCTACTTTTTAGTTTTCTTAAGAATTTTAAGGAATTAAATACTTATGAAATTAACACAATAACTATCTTAAGTTAAGATAGTCCTAATATATAGTCCTAACAATCCTACTTTTGCTGGTTAAGCCAGCGAGAATCCAGGATCACCGAGATTTTGGGGAGTATGTTTTAATTGCGCCCCCTAATCGCGTACCCTAATCGCATAGCCTAATCGCGTACCCTAATTGCGTTCCCTACTCGCGTGCTTTACTCACGTGTCCTACTCACGTGCCCTATAGAATGCACCGGTAGCATTCTTGATTATGTGCCATTGCACGTAGAAATGCGCAAACACATGTATTGTTCAACATGTGTATTTTTGCGCCCTTTGACCACGATATTGGTCAACTATGTTGCTTCCGTTGGGCCAGTTGGACCTACCTTTCGTTGATCCTGGCCATATTCATTCTGACTACATCAGCCAGCATGTAGCTTTGACTTCTATCAGAAGTCAATGAAGGAGAAAAATTCCTTCCATAGCCGACTAATTATTATTGCCGACGCATGAGCGTAATTTTACACTCGTTTACGGTCGTAAGTTAATGGTCATTACGACCATTTGTCATGCATCGTTTTAATATAACTTTTCTTGAATTAATATAATGCCAAGTTAATCAAAATTAATTTATTAAAATTCTCATAATAATATATTATATATTATTTATATATATAATAATATATAATTTATATTAAAATAAAATTAATAATCACTTATGTTTTATATAATTTAATAGATAATTTGGCTTTACATCAATTAAAACAAAGCTTTATATAATATTAGCTAAATATAGATGAATGGGCTATGAAAAATTAGGATAAAATCGGCGCAACATGAAAATAAGTTATTACTATT